GCATATGCTCCATGATACACACACACCTAAATGACCACGGTCTGTATTAACCTGACATACTGGACGTGATCCAAATTGACACAGTATTATGGACATTATAAATAATTTCAAAATGGCGCACGTTAGTGATATTTGATGGTAGAAGTATTCTGTATAATAAACTAGCAACACGTCAACATTGCAAGTATTTGTTTGACTGGTGACTCGCCGCTTGTGTTTGCTCCTAAATACAATCTGCGTCCTATAGACTATTGTGTTTACGCGATAGTACCTCTGCGACGGGAAACCTCAAATGACCTGTTCTTTCACTTAACGTACGTAGCACGTACTACTACCAGAAATAATTACTAACTGACGTCAATAAAAATGTAAATCATACAATTTTATCGGGAACTTCTTTGTACCAGGTGACGTTACCAGACTATGTTCACGTGTATACTTGGAAAATAAATATATATGCCGATAATATTTCTCGTTTGAATGGATTTGGTGTGCCTAACAACCATCGAACGTAAAGCTCCTAGCCAGAAAATAAAACGTTATCATAATCTAATCTAATCTAGACGATTCTAAAGCTAGTCTTGCATATTTTATTCTAATTAACCACAACATTCATTCAAACTTAAGACGTAAAAACCGTTATTAAACTGATTACTGTAAACGATATCTTGATTATAACTGTGTTAAATAACGGGAACTGTACCATTGTCATATAAATACATGTCTATATCGTTAATCGATTAGTTAAAACAACGTGAATATGATTACACACAATGCGTGTATATACTTCTAACAGCGTATTATACAAACCGTGTAACAGTGGGTATACTCCACTTAAAACATACGTCAAATTGTAGTATAGTGATATACCTTGTTATGGGAAGTTATAATTGAGATACATTTACCTGTTGTTCTCAGGTACAGTCAGAATGAATCCTATTCACGTATTAACCCCACAAACAACAGTTGTTCAGCTGAATCATTGACGCTGATAGGTTGTCCCTGTTGACAATTCAGCATGTGAAGTTATATTAATTGACATGTATCATATAATAACACTGTATATCACGTGATGACACCCAAAAGGTTATAGGTCATACACCTGGATTATTGGAACTGGATTATTTAGTGCCGTTTGGTGGGGATAACTAGATACAGAGCTTACCACCGACGCACTGGTATAAATCTCTAATATACCTCTAGTCAGGGTATTTGAAACAGCGTATTCAAACGCTCTCAATATGTTCTTGAGAAAATCTATATAGAGTATTCAATCACAGTGATAACTTACTGACTACGTCTTGTCTATAAAATAGCGTTATATATATAAGAAAAATATATGGAGCTGAATTTGTCCAGTTTTTTTCTGAAACACATTCACTTATTGGCTGTATGCACTGAAATGTAATATAACATGATTGGCAGCGAATTTGAACATCTACAGTTTGCCAAATTTTGCTTTTATTTCATGACTTTTCTTTCCTTACAATAGACCATTTTCCGTTTACTGCGAGAATCACGCGTTATGCGTGCAATCGAACGTAAAAACAGGATAAACAAAGGTCATAGCGTCGTGGTGGCGTCAAACATCGCGTGAGATTCGACAAACGCGAAAGTATTTTGGGGGACATTTCCATGTCAATAATGTGCTGTACACATTTGATGATAGACAATTTCGATTAAAAGAGGATATTCGAATGCAATATTCCTCTGTCAAAGATTGGCCGGTCGATGTGAACTACGAAATAAAGAAATTCGAGTTCAAAATCAAATCGTTCGATTTTTGCGGCAGACGTTCTACGCGCGTCTTTCATGCATCTCGCGAGATCTCGCAGTTGTACGGAAAATCATCTATTCCATTCGACTATTTTAGATTTTAGTCACAGACCGCTTGTCATTTAAATGGCTATGTTACTGTGAAGGGATATGCTTGATTACCGATCGCTTGTTCGCTTGTTTGTTTGTTTGTTTTTTATTTATATGTCGAATTTTTTTTATAGGTGTGTTTGTACATATATCAGTCGTTCGGGGTCATGTATTTTTTTCACCCGAGAAGAAATGTTCACTTTTTATTTATTCCATTGTTAATAGAACGTATTCAAATGATAATTGAATTATAGACTGGCCAGGTAAATATGTTCTATTGCGTTTCTGACATCCACTATTTATTGTGGAATGACGACCTTCCGCAACTTGCTACTTCTGTGGATTTAGCTTGTAGGGTATTTGCGTTTTCAACGCACCACCGGCGTGTACTGAGCTAGTCCCACAGCGCCACCAGGATCGAAGTGAGCTTCGTCTACCCTGCAATATTCCACCACTCGATACGACAAACGTAGTATGCACTAAATATAGAAACATCAATTCTAATCGAGAGTGTCACGCCCTCAATGGCTGGTCGACTATTGATGCCGCGAGCTGTATTTTTTTTTTCATTCCTGTTGTCGAAGTGTTTCATTGTCAATTAGTGTATGGAGAGAAAATGTCTAACGGAGTTCAAGATAAATTTAAACTTATGTTGAGTAGGAGATACAATTATCACAGTAAATTTATTGTATGCGTCATTTCCGGAAAGCTTCTACACCATAAATGGTTGGGATCTCATTCGTCATAAAATGTGAGACTAATAATTGTTGATTGACTGGTGTTGGTAATTTCTTTACAATATTCTTTTTGTTTCAATTTCAGAATTACAATTTTGATATTGCCTAATATATAGTCGAATGATGTATAAAAGACAGAATTTGATTTGTCGAAAAAAAACTTCTGACAACATACAAGCTACTCTCTGATTGGTCTGCCTGTTAGGTGCTGGGTTTGGGTAGCCAATCATGTACAATCTTGTAAGCAGCTTTCATTGACACTTTAGCCGTGCTATGTGGACAGAAACAAATATAACATTCTATTAGCAATGGTAAACACACGCACTCAATGTTCTGCCTGTTGTTAAATCATATCATAGTCTGTGTGACAAGTTTCATTATGTTTTACTCAACAACACGCAGTCAGCAGTGAATGAATGCTAACAATGTGTTAAACTGCCATCAAACCAACTTGTTCACGCCTGAAATATATTTGTTTGTAATCCCGCCACTAAGAGCAAATTTGATGTTAATATCTAATATAAATTTTCAATGAGAACGCTTGTTTAAGATGTTGTGTTTTATTACTTGTGTCTTCATATGTTTAGATGTATACTTTGCATAATTTACTGAGAAAACGTGATTTATTTATTTTAATTTGATCGTAATATGAATTATATTTCATAACTTTAATTATAAGGGTTGTTAGTCATTATTTGTACTTTTTTATTCTCTTATTTCTAACC